ACCGAGCAGGAGCCAGGGTAGGGGGGGAGCAGGTGAGGCCGGAAAAATCGTGGGAGCGTACGCGAACTAAAGCTCGTGCGCTCCAATAAAATTCAGAATCAAATTCTACGTACCTGAAAGCAGGTACTGGCAAAAGGACAGAGCAATCCGACCACGGGTACGTACCAAACCCGGATTCTGGCCCCAAGCAGGCTGCCAGCTGGAACAGTGCGAAGCCTATAGCGCCACATGTACTTACCGGATCGGTCTAATTCTTTCAGATTCGTAAATCCGCCGTAAAATGCGTCAGGTTGAGCCCCGGATGGGCCCAAACCGACCACGTATAGTACGGGGCACCAGGCCCAGCCAGCAGGTGGTCAGGGGCAGTGGGCGGGCTGGCGGGCTGATGGCGGGGCCCGGATTGATGGCGGGGCCGCGGCGAGCACAAGGCGGGTGGCAGGGGCCATCAGGCAGCCAGCCCGGCAGGTGCTGGGCTCGCGGGCAGCCTGGTTCCCATCAAACAGTGCACTAATTGGGAAAGCATAAAAATCGAGATTATTTTATCATTTGATAATGATTAAAAGAAACCCGGGGGATGCCGAGCAGCTGCTGGGCATTTTAAACCTGAGCATTATTTAAATGCCCTAGGTGGCTAGTTGGTAGCCGTGGTTGAGTCAACCACGCTTGCCTGGTTATAGCCAAGAGATTCACTAACTACATGGACAACCACAGTCCTTCCAAGACCAAAGACATAGGTACATATCATGACAACCGTCATGGAGAGTTACCCTTGATGCTTGCGCGACATAGACTGACGTGCTTGCGAGCCTGGGCAGCAGCCACCTATGTTGGAGACGTTTGAGGGCTGCACTGACGTGTGGTGGGTGTCGGGGTTGGGGTCATGTGCGGGCTTGAGGTCGGGTATGCATTGGGGAGGTCTGTCGTCCTTGACAATAACATGGACACTATCTGGGTTTGCGAGCGCGTAGGTGAGTGTAACCTCTGGACCGTGAGCTTGCTGTTGTGCGAGCTCGTCGGCGTATCTGTTGTGGCCGTCTTGGCCAACAGGGGCTAAGGATGGGGGGGTGGGTAT